ATGGCTTCTAGGTAGTGGGGGTTGGAGAGGATGAGGGGGACATTTCTAATCTACTGCTCCCCTTCAGTGGGAATGTGAGGTGGGGGTGGGGGGCGATGGGGGTTCAGCCTGAGGCACAGCTGGACAGGCCTGTCCGCAGGGATGGGGCCTGCACCTCCCCTTCGTTACTCCCCTTTCTGTTTCTTCTTCAGCCCCCATGACTTGGGCTTGACGGGGCCAGGGAGTCGCAGCCAGAGGTGGGGAGTTGATCTTTGGCTGGACGTTTGCTCTGCCGCCGTCTGCCTCCTTCCCAGTCTTAGGCAGAAGAGAGAAATAAGGTCAAACAAACTTTCTCCCTACTCACGACGCCCTCCTCCCTCTTTCCTGGTAAAATAATAATTCAGATAAGTGGTGTGTTTGTGTATGAGACGTGCTCTTCCTTCTCAGCTCATTAGCTGAGCTTCTGATGGATGGTAGTGAGAGTGGCCTGGCTAAATGAGGCCACTTTGCAGAAGAGAGACGGGAAGGAGCGACTAAGATAGACAATAACAATGCAGTCCAGCCTCTCAAATAAACACACAGTGGGAAATTTCCAGTGAGCCTATTAGAAGAAAAGCCACACTTGGAAATTTTGATCCTTTTTGTTGAAAGCCTTCAGCGATTTCTTTGTAACAAGACCTTAAACGGGTCTGGATTAAATACGGTAAAAGGGTAAAAAATTATGGCACGTCCAGCGTGCTCTGCCTCTCAGAAAGTGACACCCCCCCTTTTTTTTTCCATCTTCCCAGGTACCACAGTGGAAAAGTTTGTCATTGTGATTCTTTTTACTTCCTCTGCTCATCTAATTTTTTTTTTTTTTAAAGTTGGTGATTGAAATGTATCTTGGGCTTTTAAGCTCTTCACAGCATTCTGAATTTGTCTTAGGTCCATACTTTTATGTGAGAAGCATTCTCCAGGGCATATTTGTTTGGAAGGAAAAGATGTGGAAGCAGTTATAGGACAGAAGACACTTGTTTAGTGAGCCCTGACTACTTAATAATGAGAATGAGAGGTGTCTCTTTGTTTATTATTAAAGAAATGAGAAGTGGAACAAAAGAAAAACTTGATAAAACATCAATTAATGAAAATGCCAGGAAAATAAGGGTCTGTGAATAGTAGACACATGAGAGAATATAATAGTTTCAATGACTGTTTGCTTTTACTAGTGAAAGAGTTAGATACCTAATTTTGAATGCGAATTGTCTGATAAAGGAAGTTGTAGATTGACAGATGTGATCTTTCTATTGAAAAGATTAAGCTCTTTATTTCCTTTAATTACAGATTATGTCTACTTTGAGAATTCCTCCAGCAACCCATACCTAATCAGAAGGATAGAAGAACTCAACAAGGTATATGTACTGAGCGTTCTTGGTTCTAATATTAAATAATTTGGTTTCCATTGAAGGGTAATTGGGTAAGGAGCACAAGATGTGATACTACTTTCAGTACCAGACTTTTTGAAAGTAGAGGTTTGAGATTGCAGAGTTATAGTCTCCCAAGTATCATTTTGCTTTTTATAACAACCATTTTTCTGTGATATTAGATAATAGTAAATGATGTTGTTGGATGTATATTTAGTCTGTAGGCTTCCTTAGTTTGCTTAAAAACCAAAATCCAAACTGTCATCAACTTGATTTTGACTCATAGTGACCCTATGGGACAGAGAAGCATTGCCCCATTGGGTTTCCAAGGCTGTAAATCTTATAGAAGCAGACTGCTTTCTCTCTAGGAGTGGAAGGTGGGTTTGAACCACTGACATTTTGGTTAGCAGCGAAATGCTTTAACCAGTGCACTACCATAACTCTCTAAAAGCAGGTCACTCCTGTAACTTTGGCAGTTTCTTTTTTATATTTAGAGTCATAATTTGTTATATATCTCTTTTTTGTGAAATAACTTTTTCCCTTCCAGCTTTAGAAGGAAGATGCTAAGAAACAATATTGTTTTGAAGGGAACTTGTAAAATTCTAGATTATGCTAACTGATATGAATAGCATTTTGGTATAATATACAATAACTTTGTATTTTAGGCCCCAAACTTTTTTATTAAGTTTTGCCATTGGTTGTAGAATCACAGGATATCAGAAACATTGTGACTGTTTATAGTATATGAGCTTTTACAATGGAGGCATTCAAAAGAAGTCATACACTGCAGGGACCATATATTTATTTATTTATTTATTTAAATTTTATTTTTATTTGGGTGAAGATTTACAGAGTAAATTCACTTTTCATACAGCAGTTCACATATACTTTGTCTATGTCATTGACCAAAATTTACAATGCAACAGCTCCCCTCCCACTTCCTCCCCATAGTTACCTCTTCCCAGTGTCCATCCCTCCATATTCTTCTGCGCCCTGAGCTGTCTCCCTGTGCATAAGCAGCCCTTCCTTCTCCCATGATTGTTCTCTCCAGGGTGTGTGTCTACTTGAGGTAAATGTTTAACTCACTTGCCTGTTCTTTGTTTGGCTGGAAACCACAGGTGTGGGTTCAATTCCAGACCTGAAGGGCAGCTAGGGGCCATAGTCTCAGTGGTTCCACCAGGCTCTGTTGGACCAGCAAACCTGGTCCCCACTTTTTTTTTTTTTTTTGCCTCCAAATGATTTTGAGTTTTGTTCCACATTGTTCTCCCTCTCTATGCAGGATCTCCTACATCCCTTCCAAGTGGATGACAGTGGTAGCTGGGCACCATCTAGTTCTTCTGGTCTCATAGTTGTATAGGTTGCAGATCAGATGGTGTACCAGTCGCTAGGACTGATTGTTTCCATTAATTTTGGTTTTCTTCTTTCTTCTTGACGAGGAGAGACCCATTGTTGCATCTAGATGGCAGCTTCCTAGCTTTTAAGATCCCAGTCCTTACTCGCCAAAGTAGGAGGTGGAACAATGTTTTGTATAGTATGTTATGCCAATTGAGGGACCATATATTTATAATAATGCTCTGGTTTCCTCCAGACAACTTTGAGGGTTATTTCTGTAGTTTGTGAGAATTTATAGTTTAACATCTTTGGGATTGTCTAGCTAATGTCTCCTCCCAGATGAGACCATTCTGGTCCAGTTCTGAGTCCCAGGAAACCAGGACTGGTCTAACCCTTCCCTGGTTTAAAGAACCTTGAGATCTCGGTTTGCTTCTAACACCCCAGGGCTTTGTGTTTTTAAAAATTCACTAGTATTTGAGACAAGCCACTGAATGCAAGAAAGACTTCAGTCTCTGGATGAGAACTGTTGGGGTATAGTTCTGATCTGCTACTTGTTTATGTTACTGATACAAGGCTTGAGATTTTATTTCTTATATCAATTTATTTAGAAAGTTAATTGTTGTTGTTGTTAAGTGCCGTCGAGTTGTTTCCGACTCATAGCGACCCCATGCACAGCAGAACAAAACCCCACGCCAGCCCCACAATCCCTGCTATACTTGAGCCCATCATCGCGGCCACCGTATCAATCCATCTCGTTGAAGGCCTCCCCCTCTTTTGCCAACCCTCCACCCTACCAAGCATGACATCCTTCTCCAGGGAATGGTCCCTTCTGACAACATGACCAAAATAGGTGAGACGAAGTCTGGCCATTCTTGCTTCCAAGGAGCATTCTGGCTGCACTTCCTCCAGAACAGATGTTAGTTCTTTTAGCAGTCCATGGTACTTTCAGCATTCTTCACCAGCACCACAACTCAAAAGCATCAACTCTTCTTCGGTCTTCCTTATTCATTGTCCAGCTCTCACATGCATATGAGGCGATTGGAAATATCATGGCTTGTGTCAGGTGCACCTTAGTCCTCAAGGAGACATCCTTGCTCCTCAGCACTTGAAACAGTTCCTTCGCAGTTGACTTTCCCAATGCTACACGTCGTCTAATGTCCTGACTGCTCGTTCCGTTGGCATCGATTGTAGAACCAAGCAACGTGAATTCCTTGACAACCTCAATCTTCTATCCATTTAGAAAGTTAATTAGGATTCAAATAGAAGTGTTTGTCTATAAGACTCCATACTCTCTGGCTGTGCCCTGTCCCTCTCTGACCTCTGTTTCATCTACTCTCCATGTTGTTCATTCTGCTCCAGGTACAGTGTACTGTTGGCTGTTTCCCACATACACTCACCTTAAACTAATTGCTGTACAGTTGATTCCAACTTATGGTGACCCCCTGTGTTACAGAGTAGAACTGCTCCATGAGGTTTTTTGTCATTGATATTGAGACATTTACTTGTTTGTTGAAGTGTTCATTTGCAGAGAAACCATTGGCTATAGATATAGTAGGGTGGGCTGTAATCCTTACGGAAGCCGATTGATTACCTAGGCCTGAACCTTTTGTGATGCTGCTGGGTGGGTGTGAACTGCCAGCCTTTTGGTTAACAGCTGAATGCAGACCATCCGTGCCAACCAGGGACTTTCTGAGGGTTTTCTTGGCTGGAATCTCCATGGAAACAGATTGCCAGGCCTTTTTCCTGTGGCATTGCTGGATGGGTTCAAACCAACTTTTAGGTTAGATGCCATGAGCAAAACACCTGTGCCACCCAGGGACCCTCTGCACCCACCTTAGTTGTTACTAGATACCTTTGCCTTGCTCTTTTTTTCCATATATTTTTTTTGAATATTATGCTTAATTTTCATTGCTTGTTTTCTTGCACTAGAGTATAAGCTCTAAGAGTATGGTGATCTTTTCTACTCTGTCCTACAGTGTTGCTATGAATTGGTATCTACTAGAGGGCAATGGGGAGTTCTGGTAGCATAGTGCCTAAGGCGTTTGACTGCTAACCAGAAGGCTGGCGGTTCAAATCCACCAGCTACTCCTCAGAAGGAAGATGGGGCAATCTACTTCCATAGGGATACTGCCTCGGAAACCCAAGGAGGGGTTGCTATTCGACGGCACATAACAACAACAACAAGAGGGCAGTGGGCTTGGTTTTGTGGTTTTTTTTGGGAGGATTGCACGGGTTAGCAAAAACCATTCCAGTAGGGCAGACAGACATCAACCAAATTAGTCCACAAATAAAAGTAAAATAGTACTTCTAAGTTTATAAATGTCTGAGCATAGTGCTATGAAAACATATAATCTGGGATTCACATTTGTGATCTCTTTTGAGTTTCACAATAACCTTAAACCGTTAAGGTAGATAAATCATCAGTTGTTGTCATGAAACACACATAGTGCTTAAATGACTGAATTACTTCTAACTTGAACCAGGTTCATTTCATACTCCCTTTCCATTATATTATCATTCACTTCAAAAATATTCCCCTGCATTCTATGCTCACTCTCTCCATGCCTGCTTTCAGTAGAGTCATTACTGTAATAGCAGCCCTTTGGGGGCCTGGCATAACAGAACTGTAAGAGATGGGATACTGTGTAATTTTATAGAATGTAGGTTTGAATGAATGGAGTATTAGTAAATAAGAACTGACACTGACTTGTTAAATATTAAACACTTACAGAGGGGCTTTATTTCTGAAGTGATGTGAAAAAGACAACTCATTTTTATTTATATATTTAAAATTTTTTATTGTGATTTGGGTGAAAGTTTACAGAGCAAAATCATTTTCCATACAGCAGTTCATACACATTTTGATTTATGACATTGGCTGCAATTCCCCACAGTGTAATAACTCTGCCTACTCCCTCCCCACAGTTACCTCTTCCTTGTGTCCTTCCCTCTCCTGTACTCCTGCTCCCCAACTGTTTCCCTTCTATTGTCCCATGATTGATTGTTTGATTGCTCCAAGGAGTGTATCTGCATAATGTAAATGTTCACCCCATGTGCCTGTCTGTTGTTTGGCTGGAAGCAATAGGAGTGAGATCAGTTCCACACCTGAAGGGTAACTAGGGGCCATAGTCTCAGGGGTCTCACCAGGCTCTATCAGCCCAGCAAACCTGGCCTTTTTTTAAAGAGTCGCTAATTTTTTTTTAAGAATCAAGTGTTTATTGAGCATTTATTATGTACCAGGTACTGAGCTGTGCTCTGAGATACGACAGTGAACAAGATGGCCATGATGTCTCCCAAAGAATCTATATCCCATGAGGTAGACACGTGAAAAGAAAAATTAACAGACATAAAGAAAATGATAATAAATTGTGTTAATTCCTAAGAAGGAAATGAGCAATAGACTTGAGATAGTGACTAAACAGAGGTCACTTCCTTTAGATGTGGCAGGGAGGTATTTTAAGGACGTTAAAGTTGAGGCCTACTCAACTTTACGTTTGAGGAAGATGTGACCATGGGAAGAGAGGCCTCCGGATCTGAGAATATCAAGTGAAGTTGGCTAAGTGGGAAGGTTACACGATTGGAGAATCCATGTAATTTAAGCTATTTAAATAAAATATAACTGATGTGATATGATCTAGTCGATAAGTTAGGGGAAG